CTCTAGTTGGCCGGTTTGTTTGGATTAGTAACTACAGAAACATTATATAGTATGCCAGAGAGAAAGTCAAACATACAAAATGTTATTATTCAATCAGGAAAGTAAATTTATTAACCTCTATCAAAAGAACATTTTTCTGTGCACATGTCTTTACAACATAAAGAAAAAGTTAAGAGACAGGGAGGAAAGTAAGACATTTTAAATCATGTTTAGAACTTCTTTTCAAGAATTTATAATGGAAATTCCTCCAACTAAACTAAAAAAGAGAGTTCTTGGCAAAAGGGAGCTTGTCCTTTGAGCAAACGTTGTAGTAATCTGCTTAAGAATTATGCTTATTGTTTCAAAATCCCAATTAGGAAAATGTGGTATAGATCTTAAAATTCTTTGCATCAATAGACTATAGAATCAAATTTAGTATTTTGTACCACAATGAAAGTTTTGTTTGGAAATCTAATTTTTATACTATAGTAATCATTTTTTAAAATCCAAATAATTTTGCCTCTTATAATACCAAATGTTGTTATTAACACTGGACTTTTAAAATTGCACTTATTGCACAAGATTGTTTTTAAAGCATGAGATTGTTCTATTTGGAGACTGTTCTATTGTATCATGATCAATCTAAATAGAAAGCAATTTTTTTTGGAAAATCTAAACATTGCTATGTTGGTAATTATCAAATATGTTATTTTCCGATAATCATGTAGAGGTCTGAGTAGAAGAGGTCAAATGATCTTGGGCAGACAGTCAGTGGAGCAGGCACCATTCCGGCACCAAGATTGCAATCACTTCATGTTTTATGTAGTTTTAAAAAACTGCATGACTTGAAAATGATCCTTTATTTATGGAACATACTTTAACCTAGATATTTTTGCCATTTTGAACATTCAAAATATAACAACTTAGATGTATAAACTGACAGATTTGGGGTTTGTTCCTTCACAGTTGTGGTCATTTTGGTGCCACACTTGACCAACTATTTCACTGGGAAGCACTGTTGCTTCTTTACAAGGTAAACCACTTTGTTACTTACTCTAGGTGCCATTCATGATGATTACAGACTGTCTTCCAGCATCATTCCTAGCAACAGGAAGCTTTCATTATGGGCATTTAAGTCTTCCTGGAGTTTAAATGAATTTAAGACATTGGAATCAAAACTTCAGTGCAATGAAGTTTCAGAATCCACAGAACTGATTCAGAGAAATTCTTATCACTTTTTCCAAGTGATTTGCTATCTTTAGATAGCAAATAATTTCTGCATTTATTATCTATGTTATCTATGATGCAAGTAATTCTCTTTCCAGTTGAGGGATATAGTTCAGGGAGGTGGGTGAACTATCTCCCATCTTTCTGGTGACTTCTTGGAGTATAGAATTCACCACTTATCCTTACGCTCTCAAAGGGTTATGGTGGAGTAGAATTTAATGCAAATAGCCTTCTATTTTTAATAAGAATTTAGAAAATACTTAACTTAGAATTATATAGAATAGTTTTCTTTAGAAACTAGAACTATTTATCTGTATTTAAAGCACTGTTTATTATTTGTACCGATTCTTACCCTTGCGTGTGAATAAATGCTGGACAGTGAAAAACAAAACAAAACAATAAATTCTACTTTTATATATACCTATAATAATTAAAATTAAATAAAAATTTCTAATTATTATATGCAAATTAATATTAGAAAAAGCAAGAAAATGAACTTTGCATATGGTAAAATAAATTATGTTTTGGACAAATGAAGTTTGAGGAATGAAGTTTTTTTTTTTTAAGTAAAATGAGAATGCTTACCATTATAAATGAATTACTCACTATAAGAAAGAAGAAAATATAGAACAAACCCTAAATACATGTATAAGAAAAATTAGAAGTTATTTGGAAAAGGAATCTAGAATAAGAATTTCTTTCTGCACTGGGTATTGAACCCAGGGCACTTAACCACTGAGCCACATCCCGAGCCCTATTTTGTATTTTAATAGAGACAGGGTCTCCCTGAATTGCTTAGGGCCTCACTAAGTTGCTGAGGCTGGCTTAGAACTTGAGATTCTCCTGCCTCAGCCTTCTGAGCTGCTAGGATTACAGGTGTGTGCCACTAAAACTTGCAGAGAATAATGAATTTTATGTACAGATAATCAAGTTACCATTTAAATGCATTTATGTAATTACTATTAAAATGGTGATTCTTTTTAAAAATATATCTTTATTTATTTGTATGTGGTGCAGAGTATAGAACCCAGTGCCTCACAAGTGTGAGGCAGGAGCTCTAACACTGAGCAACAGCCCCAGCCCAAAATGGTTATTCTTTTTTTTTCCAAAATAGTTATTTTTAATATCAAAATGACATAGAAAGCAAACTAGAAGTAGTTTAGTCTTTATTAAAATGACAAAATTCAGTCTTGCGAGGTAAGGAATTTGATCTTTTAGGTAACTGGCCTAAGAATCAAAGATTTGTTCACTCTGGTTAGGCACCTAGCACATAATATTGTTGTGTACACAGTAAAGAGATTTCATCAAGATAATATCTTATGCTTCATACGGTGTTCTATGAAGTCCTTGAGTTCTAAAGAAAAGTGAGTTTTCTTAATGGTAAGACACCTCAGTTCTTATATTACAATTACAAAGCCCTATATATTTGACTTACACTATTTTGTTACAACCAACAATACTTTGGTATTGTTTGATAGTGAGCTCTGATTTTATTTATTCAAGTATTCTTAACCTTCTGACATTTTGACCTGTTCCCAAAACTAAATTTTTTGTGTTCAATATAATTTTGGGAGATTAGATTGTGCTCTTCCAATATCACTAAAGAAGGTATTTGGTCTTATAAAAGGAGAGATAGTAAACTAGTTAGGATTCACTGGGCTTATTATATTCTCAGCTATGAGTCTGACTGAGGCAGGAGTCTATTGAGTTTGAGGTCATATTGGGCAACAGAGGGTGATCTGGTCTCAAAAAATAAATAATCGATTAGGATTATTGGATATATTAAAGTTACATGGTAAATAAGAAATGGTGTTTTATCTTTACCGAGTTATGTAAATGAATGTGTTTAAAGTGTGGCTAAGAAATTGAAGTTCCCCAAAGCCTAATGTGTCCTGGTGTAAAATCACCAGTTATAATTCTAGTATATTAGTTGGATGACAGTCCAGATTCTGTAAGAAAAAGGGTAGATCTTAACATAATGTTTGAAGGACTCCAAGTCACTTGCTTTTGGAAAATGTATGCTACTTTTGTTCTGTATTCCTTCAGTCCTCCAAATTACAAGAGCATTAGTACATGTAACTGAAATAATTTTTAAAAATTGCATTAATATAATGCAATCCAAGGAAGACCTGGTAACTGGCTTGTGGATAAAGATAGAGGGAAGCTTTCTGGAAGCTTCCAGAAAGGGTCCAGGATGTTCTTGTATCGTGTCCATGACCCTCCAAGTCCAGACTCTCCAACCCCAGAAAGAGAGAGACAGCAATCAGAAATCATATGCTAATTATTTTATTGGTATACAGAAGAGGCTGTTGTGACTGTATGGTCCAAAGGCACAACTTCCTGAAGGACATCATCTTCTCATTCACTTTCTGAAACAAAGAAACAAGGAAGGTTATAGGGAAGATGTGGCATGCAGGAGGCTTCTGATCCCTTGCTGTCGTCTCTGAAGTAAGGTAGGTGAGAGCCCACCTCCCCTCCCTCTTCCCCTTCTCATTCCCTATTTCTTTTTGTTCACTCTGGTTAGGCGCCTAGCACATAATACTGTTGTGTACACGGTAATGAGATAAAGATTATTCATTTATTGCTTATCTTTGAGTTGCTATTGAAAATGATCAAAGATATATTTATAAAGCAGGTCACTGAAACCTATAACTATAATCGGGGAGCAAGACCAGTTTTAGAATCTTAAACATGACCTGATGAGCGAAATTTTGGCATAGTAACACAGTGGACAACAATAATAGAGAAATAGGAGGATGAGAAAGAGAAAAAGGAGGAGCAAGAAGAAGAGGAGGAGAAGAAGGAAATTTAGAAATTAAGAAAAATGAATTTAGACATTAAGAAATAAATTTAGAAAGTAAGAAAGAAAGGAAGAAAATAAAGAGAGAAAAGGAAGAAAGGGAGGAAAAAAGGAAAGAAGGAAGGAAAAAGACACTAGAAAGATGCACGTATGTTCATGAATGGTATGGAAAATTTACTGAAATATGATATTTGAAATCAGCAACATATATATCTGCATGTAACTGATGGTATCATTTGTAAGAAAAAAGTGCTGTGATTATATGTGATTAAATTTTTCCAGGAGGATGTTCAAACAAATTGATGAATGATACTTCCATCTGAATAAATATGGAGTAACATATGATATGCCTCTTAGATATAGCTACTGAACTTCAATTCAGTCATACTTTTTATGATGCGAGCCTAGATTCATTTGCAAGTAAGCATTTAAAAATCTACACTTGGAGGCACAGATTGAATTAATTTAGAATGTATACTGGACTGACAGGGCTGTTGGGAGATAGAACTGAGCAGAAAAGTCAAGTAGAAACAGGAAATGAAAAGCCATTGGAGTGTGAGCAAGGAGACAGAGGATGCAAGGGAGAAAGAATACTGCTTTGATTCTACAAGGAAACACAACACAAGTAAATGTGGGGAAAGGGGTGTTTGATGCAGTCCTTCTCAAAAGCAGAATGACCTTGGAGAACTTAAATGGGTCATCGTACAATACCCAAGAATACCTGAATCTAGACATTTAGAAATGGGTTCCATGACCACATACTTTGAACATGTTCCCAGAGGATTTGTTAACACCTTGAATTTTGAGAAGCACAAGTTAGGGCCCTTGGTGGAGAGTGAGCCTAAATCCCAGCTGCCACTAAATTCTAGAACTAGGGGAGATGGAGCGGGGGAGGTATTTCAACTCTATCTACTTGAGAAGGTTCTGGAGATCCCCAGGGCTTTGCAGGATGATATGTGGCAGGAAGCTCCAGATTACGTTTTTATTTACCTTGTTAGTTTCCAGGACGAGGAAGACCATTTGGCTGTTGCTGCTGCTGCTGCTGCTGCTGCTGCTGCTGCTGGGGGCCTCCTTGTTGGAGTGGTCTCTGCTGGTTACTAGGTCGAAGGGGGCGAAATGGTTGCTGCTGCTGCTGCTGCTGCTGCTGCTGCTGCTGCTCTTCTTGTTGGGGTGGTCTCTGCTGGTTACCAGGACGAAGAGGGCGAAATGGTTGCTGCTGCTGCTGCTGCTGCTGCTGCTCTTCTTGTTGGAGTGTTCTCTGCTGGTTACCAGGATGAGGAGAGCGACGACGACGCTGGTGGGCTTCTTCTTGTGGAGGTCCCTGTGGGTTATCAGGACAAGGAGGGCGAGGATGCTGCTGTTGGGCTCCTTGTTGGGGTGGTTCTTGCTGCTGTCCAGGACGAGGAGGTTTAGGAGGCTGCTGATTGTCTTCTTGGGGTGGTCCCTGCTCTGAATCACCACCTTCAACTTCATTGTCATTCTCGTCTCCACCATCAGCAGGGGGTCTGGGTGGGCGTCCTCCAGGAGGTGGTCTGTGAGGGACTTGTTTGGAGCTCTGGCTTAGGTCCTCGACCTCTGTGTGGGTACAGCACAAGAGTAGATGGCATCAGTGGTGGAAGAACCCCTCACCATCTACTTCTCTGACCTTGTCACACAGACATTTTGTCCCAGACTTTCCTTTTGACTGCTAACTTCCCTTGTGTCCACTCTTTCCTCATGAGGACCTCCCCTCAGCCTGTGTACTAATCATGTGGAATGTCTAACATATACTTATGATGAGTATTTATACTTAATTCTGCCCAAAAGGAAGGTCTTGGATGCCTTCCCATCCCCAGAGGATGTTTCCCTGTACACAAGAGATGTCAAGCAAAGGATTTATAAATGTCTGCTGATTGTACTTCAGGACACAGTGATGATTTGCTGTCTGTAAATCCAAGGCAGGACACTAAGCCAGAAGTTGAAACTGGAGCTAGTTGCTTAGTGCCCCAGACCCATGTGGATAAGATCTAAGAGAGGGAAGAGGAAGACAAAGTGATGGCCCCACATTGGTTTCACTGATTACCTGAAGCTATAGGGACATAACAACTGGAGGAAACAGACACAGGTACAATTTTGTGCAGTCCCTTTGAAGCCATATTTTTTTCTAGCAAGAAACATGGTGGAGGAGAAAGCCATTTTGCCACTCTCACTACCACAGAGGAGTCAGTTAGGAGACCTCACATTTGTGGTTCGCCTCTCAGCCTGAGGCAGCAAACTACTCCTGTTGTCATCAAACCCATTTCCCTATTGGAGGTTCTGCTAATTTCCCCAGAATCAAGGGTGGGAAAGGTTTGTCTATATCGTTAGGGTAACCAACAGTCACTAATGCCCCCAAATAAAAATTATGGCAATGAGACATTGTAGAACTCAAATAATTCCAAAAGGAGCTGAGGAGATAGCCAAGTGAGGATGAATTGGAACTTACCTGATGGCAGGGAGGAAGGAGAATCTTCATAGATGGCCTCTAGAAAATGAAGCACATGATGAAATTAAGTTATTCCCCAACCTCCGTGCTCACAAATATTCTACAAGGAAAGGTAGAGTACTTCCAACTACAGCCTGTCACCCCCTAAGTGAATGTGTCAGCCTCTCCCTGTGTGGCTGTTGGCAAGGCAGGAAGCTGTGAGGCAGTCGCTGTGGGTTGCTGTGCTGAGTCTCAACTCAGCAAATATCTACCATTTGGTCCTCTCTAGAATCCATCAAGCCTTCCTGCTAATATTTGTTAAGTATTCTGGGTATTTCCCTGCCCCATTTTAGTCTTCTTTTAAACATTTTCTGCATTCAATCATTTGCACATTTGACATGCTTTCTAAAGCGGGGACACCAGTAGTGAACTCTTGGGTGCAATGTCACATACACTATTTACAGCACTTTGCAATATTGAATAGAGATCAGAGACAATGAGAAATTGGTTCCTGATATTTCTATCTTACTGTGTAGAGAAAGTCCCACATTTTTTCCTGGATCTCTGTCTCTGACACAGCCCCCATATGTGTGCCTCTTCTTCCTCAACTGGCTTCACTGTCCAGTAAGGCAGCCTGTACCCACTGTCTGCTTTGATTACAGTAATGCCTTCATGACTGCTTTCCCTGGGTCTGTCTTCCCACCTTCCTCTGTGCCCTTCAAAACACAGAGACATTTCTCTATAAATGCAAATCCTTGTCATTCCTCACACCAAAAATTTTTATTCTATTTTATATTTTCAGTGGTTTCTTCAACTCTTCGGCCCTGATATGAAATGTATGGCCTTACACTTTTCATAAAAACTCTGCAGCCACATCTCACTTAGCATAATCTACCTTCTGTTTCTCTCCCGAGGGGCCTCCTGTGTCCCTAAAGTCACCCCAACTCCCATCCCTTTTCTTATACCTTCACTGGAGCTCTGAGCTGGACTCAGGGCCAGCAAGGCCACTGTGAGCAGGACCACCAGCATCTTGGAGGAGGCTCTGAAGTTGCTCCCAAGTCTGTGCTGAGGGAAGCAGGGCAGCTCCCTTTATAAGGAGGAGAGGAACAGTGGTGCCTTTGAGCTCCAGGTCTCAGTGACCTCACAGCTGACACACTAGCATGTCTTGCCTCCCTACTTTCTCTTTGGGACCTCAGCCCAGCATGATAGGCTAGGCAAGTGTTTGTCACATGTCATTTACAAGAAGTCCAATATGTGACTTGGGCAATCGTGTTGAAGGAAACTAGGCAAGTATTCAGCAAAGATGTTAGAATTCAGGTTCTCTAGTTGTTTGACCTTTAGTCTGATTGATGAGACTGTGACTCTGCCCTTCCTTTGTTTATTGTGTTTGTGGGAGGTTGGTGCTACACACCTGCATATTTGTGTCAGCAATGACCCTAGCATCAAAAATGGAGATAGTCTTTTTTTTTTCTTACTATAGTCAAAACTCCATCAAACATGATGTCTAGGTTCCCGTGCATATGATAGGTAGCTGAAGTTTTGATTATTTAGGATCCTTCCTTCTCAACTCTGCAGTGGCTTGGGATACCACATGGACACTTGGTTTCTGAAAGATGACCCTCAGCCTGTTCAGATCCAGAAAACTTGTCCAGGAATCACTGGATCTGGTTCTGATCAGGAGGCCTTGGTTCTGTGGAAGCATATACCCTAAAGTATTCTGTTTTCATTGATATCCCTGGGTATTGTAAAGCAAAAGCAGTCACAAAATAGCCATGGGGTTTTGCACACCCCAGCAATGGGAATGCACAGTTCCTAGAGAAACCACACATTTCAGGTCTCAGTCTTCCTCTAGGCTCCTGTCCTTTTGTGAGTTGTTCTATAGGATGGCTTGGGAACTTGCTTTATTGAAGAAAGCATTATGAATCACACCAGTGAAAATTGATGGGCCACACTATTCACTTGAATGAGGTAGCAGGACATCACTTTTGTAGGTTCAACGCTTTGCATTTGTGTTTGGGTTAGTAGTCACGTTCTGTGCTGTTTCCTCAGGTTGTTCTCCACCAGAGACTTTTGTGTGTGGTACTCTGATAATCATTTCTCCCACTCTCCTTTGGAATCAGATGTTCAAGTTTTGAACAACCTCCTGATTTTATATATCATTTTACATCGAGTTCCCCACTCCTTTATATTTAGAATGAACTCCTTTATTGAATCTTACAAGTCTGCATTGATTCTATGTTTCATTAGATTGTTGAATTTTTACTTCAAAATTTGGTTAAAAGGTATTGTGTTTCCAACAAGTCTTCTTTGGCACCTGCATTGCTTGCCTCTTTTCACCTTGTGCTCATTCTGTTGTGTTTGGTAATTACCTGCTAACCCTTTTCATGGAAGATCTAGATTGATCAGTCTCACCAGCTGCATCTTAGCATTTGAGATCTTGTATGTGTGTCTTATGTCATTGTTCCTTTCATTATAGAGCTCATAGTAAATTGAGGACAGATTGGTTGGAGATATAACAGGGATGGCCATGTGACTGGAAATTTTTTTTTTCTTGGAGGTGTAGATGGACAGAATGCCTTCATTTGATTTGTTTATTTTTATGTGGTGCTGAGGATCAAACCCAGTGCCTCATGCATGGTAGGCAAGTGCTTTGCCACTGAGTTATAGCCCCAGCCCTCAATGGTGATTCTTAATAACAAAATGACATTGGAAGGAAACTAGAAGTGGTTTAGTCTTATTAAAATTATAAAATTCAGTCTTGCAAGGTACAGAATTTGATCTTTTAAGTAACTGGCCTTAGAATCAATTTTTGGTTTCATCAAGATAATTTATTTTGCTTCATATGGTGTTCTGTGAAGTCCTTGATTTCTTAAGAAAAGTGAGTTTTCTTAATGGTAAGACACCTCAGTTCTTATGTTACAATTACATAGCCCTATATATACGACTTACAGTATTTTGTTACAAATAACAATACTTTGGTATTGTTTGATAGTGAGCTCTGATTTTATTTATTCAAGTATTCTTAACATTTGACATTTTGACCTGTTCCCCGAATTAAATTTTTTGTGTTCAATCGAATTTTGGGAGATTCCAGAGTGCTCTTGAAATATCACTAAAGAAGGTATTTTTGTCTTATAAAGAGAGAGAGAGAGAGAGACTGCACCGCACCTGATGGCGCACCCTCCAGTGGCTGCGTCCTGTCCAGCCTGTGCTGGGGACCCTGGCCACCAACTGGTGGGCCCTGGCGGTGGAGGAGCAGGAAGCGGCAGCTGAGTCGTTGAGCAACTTTCATCTTAAGGAAGGGAAGATCAAACCAGATGTCAATGGTGCTGTTGTCAAGACCAATGCTAATGCAGAGAAGACAGATGAAGAAGAGAAAGAGGACAAAGCTGCCCAGTCTTTACTCAACAAGCTGATCTGAAGCAACCTTGTGGATAACACTAACCAAGTGGAAGTCCTGTAGCAATATCTGAACTCCCCACTCTACTCAGTGAAGTCTTTTGAAGAGCTTCGACTGAAACCACAGCTTCTCCAAGGAGTCTATGCCATGGGTTTCAACAGTCCATCCAAAATCAAAGAGAATGCATAGCCTCTGATGCTTACTGAACCCCCACAGAACTTGCCCAGTCTCAGTCTGGTACTGATAAAACAGCTGTCTTTGTGTTGGCTATTCTCAGCCCAGTAGAACCTGCAAACAGATATCCCCAGTGTCTGTGCCTCTCCCCCACATATGAGCTCACCCTTCAAACAGGAAAAGTGATTGAACAGATGGCCAAATTTTACCCTGAATTGAAGCTAGCTTATGCTGTTCTAGGCAATACATTGGAAAGAGGTCAGAAGATCAGTGAGTAGATTGTCATTGGTACTTTTGGGACTATCCTGGACTGATATACTCCAAGCTCAGGTTCATTGACTGCAGAAGGATCAAGGTGTTCGTTCTGGATGAGGCTGACGTGATGATAGCCACTCAGGGCCACCAAGATCAGAGCATCTGTATCCAGAGGCTGCTACCCAAGAACTGCCAGATGTTGCTTTTCTCTGCCACTTTTGAAGACTCTGTGTGGAAGTTTTCCCAGAAAGTGGTCCCAGACCCCTAATATTATCAAACTGAAGCATGAGGAGGAGACATTGGATACCATCAAGCAGTACTATATCCTGTGCAATAACAGAAATGAGAAGTTCCAGGCCTTGTGCAACCTGCATGGGGCCATCACCATCGCACAAGCCATGATCTTCTGCCATACCCGCAAAACAGCTAGTTGGTTGGCAGCAGAGCTCTCAAAAGATGGCCACCAGGTGGCTCTGCTGAGCGGAGAAATGATGGTGGAGCAGAGGGCTGCTATGATTGAGCGCTTCCGAGAGGGCAAAGAGAAGGTTCTGGTCACCACCAACGTTTGTGCTCATGGTATCGATGTTGAACAAGTGTCTGTCATCATCAACTTCGATTTTTCTGTGGACAAGGACGGGAACCTAGACAACCAGACCTACCTGCACTGGATTGGACGCACTGGCCGCTTTGGCAAGAGAGGCCTGGCCGTGAGCATGGTTGACAGAAAGTGCAGCATGAGCGTCCTGAACAGAATCCAGGAGCATTTTAATAGGAAGATAGGAAGATTGAATACAGATGATTTGGACGAGATTGAGAAAATAGCCAACTGAGAAGCTCTACCAGCTACTGGTGTCCGCCCTTGGGGCTGCCTCTGCCCAGGAGACGAGTGTTTTCATGGCACAGGCCTCAACTGTCACCACAAAGACAAAGGCATGAAGAGAGAAACTAGCTACCTCATTTTCAATTACGTTTGGACTTGACAAAAAATTTTGCAGATGATGAGAGATGGTAGAAGAATTGTTTACACCACTGTGGAAGATTAGGCGTGAATACACAGAAATTTACCTTTTGGAAATTTCGGCAGTGTTTTGGCCAGCATTTTTCTCATCATTACCTAATCTAGATATTGTGACTAAATACTTATCCAGGATCCCCTGCAGAGAAATCCATGCCTGTTCTCTGGCTTGGAGTGTGGGGTCCAGCCTCTAGCCCATGTGGAAACAACAGAATAGAAGTGAAGAGGGGTTACGGAAGGAGATGACGCCCACAGTAGACGGGAGTTATTCCTCGACATGGTATCTGGAGGCTGCCATGAGGCAGCAGAGGCGGCCTGTGAGCTGCTTCTTTGGACTGACTTGGTGTCAAATAGCTTATCTGCATGTTGCCAGCCCCTCTGTCCTAACGCTCACACTAGGAAGGTATTTGCTGTGATGGACAAAAATGCTAGCCTCTGGGTTTTGTGTGCAGGCTTGTGTCTCAGGACCAGCACCAGCCCTTTTCAGCAGGTTTGATCTGTGTATGGTGTACATTGGACTCTTGGTGGGTCCTTTGCTTGTGCTTGGGCAAGTCCTGTGGAGAAGTCACCGTGGAGAAATGGTGGTAGATGTAGCTTGCCACAAAATTTGATTTCACTGGCACTTGCAGCATCTTTTTTTGTGTTTCCTTGATCCTAGTCCAAGCAATTAAAAGGTGGTCTGGGATTTGGATTCTCAGTGAAAATTGTTGTTCAGGTTTCTAATGGCCAGTCTTAAGGCAGCTTCAGCAATAGTCACAAATTCTTTCTTTGCCTCCAGATCCCAGAAGTTTTGTCAGATCTGGGGAATGATTACAGATATTTGGCATCTTGATTGTAAAGAGGTTCTGGACATCTGTGTTCCCAGTGCCTGGAATATACAAACAGGTGCGACCAAGGGACTAGATGGACTACAGCCATTCATCTATCCAAGGCACGAGTAACTGCCAAGGCCTGTGCTCCATCCTTACTTGGCATCTATGCACAGGACAGTTAGAACAAAGAATAGAAATGGAAACTTTCTCATACCTGACCAAGGTTCTTGGTACCCAGAGTGACAGAGCAAAGATGAGATGAAACTCAGGTGCAAGAGCAGTCTGAGACCCCCCACCAAAAGGAGTCCTCTTCAGCTCTTTGGCATTGATATGGAATGTACTTTATCTAGGACCTGGAAGAGAAATTTTACAA